TGGATGACCTCAGTGACGAGAGGAGAATGTGTAGCGCTGAGCTAATGGTGATAGCGTCGGGGCTAAACAGGTTAAGCTGAGGTTCTTCTTCCATGAAGCAGCTCTGTTGTCCTCCATCCATATTTTCAGTTACAGGCTGAGTCATTTCTACCTTCTCCTCTCTGTCAACGCTCTCTAGTTTCATTTAAAAGAGTCGATCATCAGATATTGTCCAAGATTAAACTTCAGGGTGGATATAGCTCGCTCACACCGAGGACCTACTCATGTCATCATTTACCCAGAATGCATTGTGTGTAAATAAAATGGCTCTGTCTGTGTTAAAATATATTTTAAAAAATTTACAAAACTAAACAACCTACAGTATTTTCACAGTCTTTATTTTAGAGTTAAAATATATGTTTGTCAAATAAAGTCTAATGTTATAACTAATCGTGGATCCCTTTAAACTATAAAAGCAATCTTCTTTCTCTTTATTTATAATAAAGTAAGTCTGAGTTTAGATACACTTAAGCTAACCTGAGTATGTAAAGATAAACTACACTAAATTAAGCTAAATAAAGGTCAGCCATGTTGAATTAACTAAAATACAAGAGCTAAACTAAATCTAGCTAAGATAAACTACGCTAAATTAAACTGAATAATCTATGCTAAAGTTAGCCATGTTAAACACAGACAAAGCTAAACCTATTTTAACATAAACTAAATTAAATTTAGATAAACCAAATCAGAATATGAAAATAATTTACGAGTTAAACTAATTACCCAAAAAGTAAAGTAAGATAACTTCAAATAATCCAAGCTACACTGAGCTAAACTAAAATTAAGCCGAACAAAAACAAGTCAAGACAACCTACGACAAACCAAGTCAAGATAGTTTAATCCAGGCTAAGTTAACCTATATAAAACAGATTCATTCATGCTAAGGTAAACCAAGTTTAGCCAAGTTCAGAAAAAATAACCCATGCTAAAATAGATCAAATTAATTAATTAATTAATAAAAACAAGCTAAACCAAAATCAATCCACCTGAACTAAATTAACCCGAGTTTAATAAAATGAGGTTTAAACTTAGGGTAAGACCAGAAGATGTAGCACAACTGGGTGGTCCTCATGGAAAACTGTTTACAAAAGATCAAAWGGATCCATTGAAGCTCAAAGAAAACAGAACAACAATGGAAGCTACAAATGTTCTTTATGGAACAACTAAACATCACTTAAATACCAACGTTTTTCTGTTTTTACAGTTAACGTCTTGCTGAAGCTGCAGCTGTCATGAGAAGAGCAAACACAGTAGAACAAATAACTAAATACAGAGAGATGAAAGACATTTCAGTCAAACTGGAGCAACAACAGGGGAAAATAAAACACTTTAAAGCTGTGAGATAAAGACAGGTAGAGCTGGTGATTCATCTCGGATCTAAAAGTAGGCGTCAAACTAAAAATCAACAAGTGAAACACTTTGTCACAAGTGGGTGAGGTGAAAAAGCTAAAAAAAAAGGGATAACGCCAACAGCTGGGACTTGGCCCACACACAGGATGAATCAGTGAGACTTCATGTGGTGCTGAACGCTGCTTTCTGTCTGGCTAAAATTAAACATGAGTGGGAACTGTAAGCTCAGACGTCTTACTGTTGTCGGCTGGACTGGTGGACAGCAGGCCAGTGTCCAGGACGCTGCTCTGTTCTGCCAAATCGATGGCCATCCTGATGTCCTCCACCCATCGCTCCATCTCTGACTCACAGCTGCACACAAACAGCTTTCATCACAACCCGTGTGTCTACACAACACAGCCCATGTTACAGCAATATGAAGAGTCGCTGATTGACAATGACGTCCCTTTCTTCTAGTTTTAAATGTGTGTGTTGATGCGTACCTGGCAGCTACCACTACAGACTGGCGCTGTCCATGTAAGGTAAAGGAATGAGGAACGCCCCACTCCTCCTCACTTTCTCTGATCTGCAAGAGACATCAGAAAAATGTGCAACAAACGTTAGTGACAGTCAGTTCCAGTTACGCTAATCTGATGATAGCAGTGCCAGCTTCTCATTCAGCGGATTAACTTTCTTTCTAACTCTGGAAACCATTCGCTAAATGACTAGCTTCAGCTAAATTAGGTTCTGCTGATTTTAAGTCCAATAAAAAAATTCAATAGTGTAAAACTTAAATTATTATGCCATCCATCCCATATTAAAAAATATCCCCTTATAAGCAGTGTTGGACATATCAGTCACCATGTGTGCAGCATGTAGCATTGTTAGCAGCTAAAGAACTAAAAGCATAAAAAAACATTTTATATTTAAATAACAAAGATAAAAATGGACTATGTATAAAGCAGGGGTTCTTAACCTTTTTGACCTCCGGGTCCAATTTATTGAACATAAAGTGTCACGAGGCCCAGTCAGACATTACCAATGTATGGATCAAAATGATAATTATTCTAAATCTTGGTTAAATTTTTATTGTATTTACATTATAACTAAATTATCATGACTAACATAACTAAATAAAATACACTTACAGTTTAAAAGTAAAACTCCTGTCAAATAATCACAAGACATGATTATGACAAACATTTTTATATTGTAACCTGCCCATAACTATTATCTGAACAAATACAAAGGTCAGTCAACAGACCACTCAGGCTTATCAACACAAATATATATATATATATTTAACATAAACGATAACAAAAAAGGGGTGTCAGCTGCGGACATGAAAGCACCTGCTGAAGGAAAGGAGAGAGGAAAAAGTAACTTATTTCTAGCAGCAGAACAGGTTGGAAGATGGCTTTTTGACGTTATTTATTGTTTTTTAAATCATCCTATAGGCTCTGACATGTTAGATAAATTTGAAAATGAGGTTTTTTAAAAATCCGTAAGACTTGAAAAAATCCGTGAGATTGCTCTATACGTCCGTATACCTGCAAAATGATGTCAAATCTTTATAATTTACAATCTGTACAAGTTGACATGTGTGGGTTCAGGCTGAAGCTGCCCCGCTGCCTTTCTTTCCCCTCCTCCCCTCCCGCTGTGCAGGACGTACTGCTGGTCTCTCTCTCTCTCTCTCTGTCTCTGTCTCTCTCTGTCTCTCTGTCTCTCTCTCTCTCTCTGTCTCTGTCTCTCTCTCTCTCTGTCTCT